CATTTGAGTTTCTTTTTTTGGCATTTTGAAATCATCTTAACTTCTTTAATAATGTGGTGAATCACATTAATAGGTTTTCTAATTTTAAACCTGGTATAAAACCAATTTGGTCATGATGTTTCCTTTAATAGATTGCTATACTCAATGTGCTAATATTTTAAATAGGATTTTTCCATCTGTGTTCATATGACAGATTGGCCTCCAATATTCTTTTCTATTACAGTCCATCATTGCTTTGGATATTAAGGTTTTATTAGCCCCATAAAATGAACTTGAGAGTATTACTTATTTTTCCATTCTCTAAAAAGTTTGTAGAAGATTCGAATTAGATAATCCTTTGAAGTGTTTGTCAGAGTTTGTTTTATTGATTTGTATGTAAGAATCTTTTGTATGTTATTCAAATTAAGTCTTTGATAATGTACGTGATGAATATTTCCTTTTATGTTTTTAATTTTATCTAAACATGTTTACTTATTTATTTATTTTTATTTAAATTATTTACTTATTTTACTTTACAACATTGTATTGGTTTTGCCATACATTGACTTGAATCCGCCATGGGTGTACATGTGTTCCCCATCCTGAACCCCCCTCCCAACTCCCTCCCCATCCCATCCCTCTGGGTCATCCCAGTGCACCAGCCCCGAGCATCCTGTATCATGCATCGAACCTGGACTGGTGATTCGTTTCACATATGATAGTTTACATGTTTCAATTTAAAAAGTGTTATGAAGTCAAATTTAAACATCTTTTCATGGTTTTGTCTATTGCTCAGAAAAGTTTTCCTTACTACAAAACTGACTTCTTTTCTGACTATATATCCAATTGCTTCAAAAGTTTTTTACTAATCTACGCTTTCCTTAATGACGTCAAATTTAACATTTATCATAAACTAAATATATAGGCCTTTATCATAGATTAAATGTGTGTGATGAGTGTGAATATGTGTTCTCTCTCTTTCTTCTATCCTTGGGTTGATAAAACTCTACTTGCTATAGAGTATGTTTTGATTTCTGGTGGTAAAGATGTTTCTCATTTACTTTAAAAAATTTTTTTGGCTATTTTCATGCCACTTCTCTCCTAGAATCTCTTTAGAATCAGTTTGTCAAATTTCATAAAGACTACATTCCAGGGTTCCCCTGGTGACTCAGTGGTAAAGAATCCACCTGCCAAGGCAGGAGACACGGATTTGAACCCTGGTCTGGGAAGATGCTACATGCCACAGAGCAACTAAGCCTGGAAATCACAACTCCTGAGTCCATGTGCTGCAGCTACTGAGGCCTGCACGCTGGAGAGCCTGTGCTCGGCAACAAGAGAAGCCAGAGCAATGAGAAGCCCAGAAGAGTAGCTGCAGCTCGCTGCAACTAGAGAAAAGCCCGCCCAGCCAAAAATAAATACATAAAATTATTTTTTAAAAACCGCATTCCAATTTTGATTGGGATTGCATGGAATTCAAAGACTAAGCTACCTCTTTGCAACATTGAGTCTTCCTATCCAGGAATGTCAATATAGGACTCTCCATTGATTCCCTGCTCCTTAATAACTATATGAGATTGGCTGGAATCTCTGGTTCATGACTTGTGTCTAAGATTTCTCTTGATAAGCTCCTGCTTGGAGCTTAAGCTTCCACTGAATTGGTTCATTTTATAAGCCCAAGTGTGGTCGATTGTATTTTCCCAAAATAGCTGAACCAATATATGTTCTATCTTCCATGCTTTTTTTTTTTTTTTTTTTTGCTTAAACAACAGAAGTTCATTTTCTCACACTTCTGGAGGTTCTTAATTCAAGGTCAGGGAGCTGGCAGGACTGGTTTCTCTTGAGACCTCTCCCTTCTCATGTTGCAGTGGCTGCCTCATCACTGTGTCTTCACGTGGCCTTTTATGTATGTGCATTCCTTGTGTCTCTGCTTCTTCCTGTTGGTCTTGGAGGGTCTCCTGGGGAGGCTGTGGCTCTCTCTTGAGACATAAAAGCTGGTGGCGAGCATACCCAGGAGTACTCACCCAAAGGCTAAGATCTTGCTTGGGCCCCCACGCTCTTGAAATGTGTCAGTGACACTCTGGCAAGAGGTGGGAGTCCCTGTTCTTTCCCCTTGAAACTGGGCAAATCTTTGTAATTGCCTGGACCAAAAAAATGCAGTGAAGTTGATGCTGTGTGACTTCCAAAACTAGCTCCTGGGTGGCAATTCTGCTATAGTCTGGTATTGTCCCACTATCTCTGAGCTGCTATGTAAGAAGTTCAGATACACCCATGTAAATCCATGGCTGATTCATGTCAATGTATGGCAAAAACCACTACAATATTGTAAAGTAATTAGCCTCCAACTAATAAAAATAAATGGGGGGAAAAAAAAGAAGTTCAGATACACTGAAGCTGCCACATGGGAGAGACCCTGTGGCAAGCCCACCAAAGGATCAAGGAGACAGCCACCCAAGAAATTCCACTTATTCCAGCCCCAGCTATTGAAGGATTCCCAGTACAGATACCAGACACATGAGTGAAAAAAGCCTTCTAGTGACCCCAACTCCAGCCACCATCTGACTGCAACCTCAAGTCAGACCTCAAATCAAAAACCAACCAAAAGAGCCATTCTTGACTTTCCATGCTAAGCAGTGGTTGTTTTAAGCCACTCAGTTTTTAGATGGGTTGTTATGCTGCAATAGAAAATGAATATGCTCATGTGTGCTGTTCAAAGATGAAGCTCATCATTTCCAGACACAGGAAAAAAACAGTACTTACTCCCCAGAGGCTTTTGTGTGTTCAGCCCACAAACAGAGGAAGAAATGAACAACATGCAACCAACAACTTTGAACATCTTGTTACTTAGACATCCTTTACATATAACTCCACGCACCCGGGCAGTGCCCATCAGCTCTCTCTCTCCTCCTCTCATCTTTCTTCCTACAAACTCCAAATTCCCCATCACTCTGTTAGGCAGAGCAATTCAGTTCTCTCAAACCCTTTCCCCCAAACTCAGGAACACTTTTCAAAATCCAGGGCCCTTTGCCAACATGCCCAATGGAGTTGAACTTTTCAGGGTTCCAGAGAGTATTCTCCACCATTTTAGCTGACCTGCTTGTGATCGTCTTCCTCACACAACAGGACTGACACAGAGAGTCCTCAATAAATCATAATGAAAGCAGAAATGTAGCAAGCACCTACTATGTGCTGCTTGTTAGGTTAAATACTTCACATGCATCATCTCATTCAATCTTCACAAAACCCCATAAGATAGGAACTACTATTGTCCCCTTTTACAGAAGAGCAATCTGAGACTTACCAAGTGGCTCAATGGTAAAGAATCTGCCTGCCAATGCAGGAGACACAAGTTTGATCCCTGGGTCAGAAAGATCCCCTGGAGAAGGAAATGGCAACCCACTCCAGTATTCTTGCCTAGAGAATCCCATGAACTGAGGAGCCTGGCAGGCTACAGTCTATGGAGCTGGGAAAGAGTCAGACACAACTTTGTGACTAAACAACAACAGCAGCAAAGCCTTCATATAGTTTTAGGGCCCATGGTCATACTTAGTGACAGAGTCAGATACCAAAGCATTAAACCAACATTGCTTATGTGAATGAAAGAGAAGGCAGGAGGCTGGAGAGAGGCTATACTTGACAAGTAGGTTTTGGAAACTTTGGTAAATAAGGTGTGGGTTGTTTCTGTGGACATGGAGGAGATCACCTGGAGGTAGAGGCATGGTCAGTCCTACAGACCCTGGTGCTTAAGGGAGCTGCAGAGAAGAAAAAGCAATAGAAGAAGAAGGGCTTGGGATTTTCCTGGTGATCCAGTGGCTAAGACTCAGCCCTCCCAATTCAGGGGACCTTGGTTCAATACCTGGTCAGGGAACTAGATTCCACACGATTCAACTAAAGATTCCACACGCTCCAGCAAAGATCAAAGATCCGGAGTACTACAACTAAGACCCAGAGCAGCCAAACAAAAAAAAAATTTTTCTTTAAGAAAGATGAGTAAGCCGAAGGAGAGGGAGGAGGGTTGAATGGTGGACACCTGGGCAGTGAAGACTTCAAGGATAGAATGGCCAAGGCAGACCCAGATGCCAACAGCTTCATGACTGGAGGACTAAAGAGCCTCACTGGTCTCCCAGCTGGGGTGGAAGCAAAGAGATAAGAGGGAGATGAGGAAGTTTAGAAATGGGGTGCAGACAGCTTGGCTAGTATTAGCAGTGAAGCCAGGGGGAGAGCGTGAAGGAGTATTCATAGCATGGCTGATCCAGGAAGGGCCTTAGTTGTTCAGTCGCACAGTCTTGTCCAGTTCTTTGCTGACCCCATGGACTACAGCACACCAGGCTTCCCTGTCCTTCACTATCTCCTAGAGTTTGCCCAGACTCACGGCCATTAAGTGGATGATGCCATCCAAACATCTCATCCTCTGCGGTATGTTTTAATAGGGACGAGGCCTGATTGATCGTACCTGGAGAGAAACGAGGTGGATGGAGAGCTGGGCAAAGCCTGCTACAAGGTCGGCAGAACCTGCGGTGTCCTCGGCCTGGGCCCTGGAGCAGGGCACCCAGGCCCGGGCTTGCAGGCTGAAGTGGCTGAGGACAGGCGCAAGTGATGGGAGCAGACTGCGGGTCGGGAAAACGGGCTCCCGGACCCGGAAAACTGGGTCCCGGAGATCAGGCTGGACAGGCAACGCGGACGGTCCTCTTCCTCTTCATAGAGGAACGGAGCTGTGGTCCCGGTCCCGCATCCTGGCCACTCTTCGGATCACCCGGCCGAGGCCTCCGGGAAGCCCAGGGCGAGGATGGAGGGTGGGCGCTGGCGGCTGGACAGAGCGGGGCGGAGCTGGGCCGGGAGCGCCAGCCTCCGTCCCAGGGTCCTCTCAGGTGACAGACCCCGCGGGCCCCCCGCCCCGCCCCGCCGCATATTCAGGAGGCCCGGCCCGCGGGGTCCGAGAGCAGCCGGAGCCGTCGCGCCGAGAGCTTCAGCCGTCGGTGCGTGCGTGGTGCCCGCCTCAGTCCACCTCGAGCCCGACACCCGCCATGGCCCCCGAGGCCGCCCCCCGCAACCTCCTGGTTCTCCTGCAGGTGCTGGGGCTCGCCCTGGCTCAGATCGTAAGTCCTGCGGCCACTCCCGAGCCTGGCTCCGGAATGCGGGGTCTGGGCCCGGGGTTCCGGATCCTGGGGTCTGGTGGAGTGTTCGGCCTGACCCCCACCCTCTACTGACACCCCCTAGCCTGAGGGGCAGCCGCTCACGTCCCTTCAGTAGGGGCACAAATGGGGGTAGGGGGTTGGCTCTCGGCACCGCGAAAAAGGCGGACAAGCCGGGGAGCCGGAGGGACCCTGTCCTGAGATGCTCAGCCTTGCCCGGGCCCGGCGGCGTGGGGCAGGAGCTGGCGCCGGGTCCTGGCAGCCTGGAGAGCCCAGGTGGCGGGGGAGACAATGGTGCCCATTCACGGGGCTCCGGATCCTCCGCCCCCGCCGCCTCCCAGGGGGCGCCGGCTCCAGCCAGACGCCGCTGCCGCTCGGCTGACGCTCTCCGTCGGGCTAGCGCGCCCGCGTCTCACTTCCGAGGGCCGGCTGGGGGCAGGGGGCCTCACGGGATGCGGGCGCGGGGGGGCAGGGCCGGGGCGCCATCTGGGGCCTTGGGCGGTTCGCAGCTCGCCCATGGGGCGCCAACCTGGCACTTCTCGGTCTGTATGTGGGGGTGGGAGTGCGGGCACCTGGCAAACGCCGGACCCCTGCCTGGGTCTAGGATGGATCGCGTAAGAGCGCCATCCAACCGAGGACGGAGGAGGGGTGCTGGGAGAAGGGTGCTCTGAATAGGAGAGAAGAGGCTTGCCCTCCTTAGACACCTCGCCCCCTAACGGCCCCTCTCTGCGCCTCCCCAACTTTCCCGTCGGGCTTTATCCGCACCAGGGGGAGAAGTAGGGGGTTCCTATCCATCTTCAATATCTGTCGTCCATCTAAAAATAATCCAAGCAACCAGTAATTGAGGATCAAGCATCTCTAGGTACCATCTTCCGTAACCATCCGTTATTTGAGTCATCGGCAGCTCCTATTCTCCGTCCACGACCGCGCAGCGGCAGCGCGGTACAGTGGAAGGAGCTGGGCAAACCTAGGGCGGAATTCCAGCTCCACAGCTTACCTCCTGTGATCATGGACCCCTGAATCTTACGGAGCCTGTTCCCTCACCTGCAAACTGGGGCTCGTTAGTTTCGGCTCACAGTTCTGAGCCAATCAATAAGATAGTATATGTAAAGGTCCACAGTGCGTTCACAGTGAAGGGGAGTTCACGGCTCCTCAGGGGGGAGGTGCGCCTCTGGATGCCCAGTTCCCTGCAATGTCTGAGGGCTGCCCTCTTTGTGTTTTCAGAGAGGTCCGCCAGGAGAGCCGGGGCCTCCGGGCCCCCCAGGGCCACCGGGAGTGCCTGGATCCGACGGAATCGACGTGAGCTCTCTAACCCGGGACCGGGGTTGTGGGGGGTGGGGCGCGGGGAGGCGAGAGGCTGCGGACAAAGGGGAACTTTGTGAGCTCTGGGAGTGGAGGCTGGGGGTGGCGGCGGTGAGGTCGGTGCCTGGAGCTGCAGTGCCCCCTGTTGCCAGTAGGCAGAGCCGGCCCGCCCCACAAGGAGCCCGTTTGTTCTACAAAAACCTCAAACCAGCTTGGAGCGGCAGAGCCCGTTATAGCTGCCAGTTGACAAGGAGCTGCTGTTCGGTCTACCTGCCACAGATCACAGCGATTCCTCATGCCCCGCCCCCTCCTCCCTTTTTTGGGGTGGGAGACGCCTTAACTCCTCCGGGCACGTCTGGATGCTTCTTCAGGGTAGCTTGGGAGGCTTGGCCAGACCGCTGTCCTGCCGGGGCCAGACTCCAGTCTCTTCCCTTTACATTTTTCTTCCCGATTTAGAAGCAGCTGGGCTGGTTCCGTGCTCTCCCCACCGTGGTGAGAGTTAAATACATAATTCTGGATGCTCCCCCATATTTATGGGTCAGCCCCGTATTTACCCATCTCCACAGCTTTCTATTCAATTTGGTGCCCCCACCCTTCAAACAGGGGCGCTGGGCCCCTGCCAGGTTCTCTGGCCGCCTTGGGCCCTGAAATGCCTGGAGGCCTCTCTGGGGCTGAATGTGATTCCACAGGCCACGTCTGTTCTCCACCAAGGATCCTTTGTCACAGGGGAAGGAGGTCCTTCCTGCCTTGGGGACAGATTGAAGTTGCCCCCTTGGTCCCTGCCCCTTCCCCATCTCATTCTCCTGACCCCAATCCACCACTTCCCCCTTCGCTTACCTCCTCTTCGTGTTTTCCTAAAAGCCCCAAAGTTTCTTCCCACACTTGCTCAAATTCAAGAGGCACCGCTCTCCAAGGCAACCCACTCACAGATCTCATGACTGGCACCATCCCAACGCTGCCATGTCTGGAACTCACTTGTATGTTGATATCACCCTCTCCAGCGTGCATGGGGTTGGTCTCGATCCACCTATGGTTTTCTTGAAGGAAAGGGAGCTATTTTCCTAAAAAGCACGAGGTTTGAGAGGACCCAGGACAGAAGAGGACAGGAGCATGTGGGCAGGTCAACCGGGGCTTGTGTGTGCCCATCTGGAGTAGCACAAGCCATGGTAAGCTTTCTCAACAACTTATATCTTGCAGGGTGACAAAGGGCCCCCTGGGAAAGCTGGCCCTCCGGTGAGTGCTTTTTCCCTGTTGACCTTTGATGCTTCCAGGTCTCTCCTGCCTGTGGCTAATATTTGCTCCACCTCTGTTTTCAAGGGACCAAAGGGAGAGCCTGGCAAAGCGGGGACAGATGGACCAGACGGGAAGCCCGGGATTGATGTGAGTACCTACTGAGCATCAGGTAGAGTAGGCTAGGGCTCCAGCCCCTGACTTCCAAAACCTAGTTCTGGCATCTTCCCTGTCTGCTGTGCAGAGCAGGATGGAGACTCTACAGCTGTGAGCTCCCCTTATCTTCATGTGACTTGTGACCTCACACCCACGCCAAGAACACTGAATCAAGGGCAGGTGGAGGTCCAGAGGGCTCAGCAGCAGTCAGAATTTAGCCTCACATTTCTGGCCTCCAAGTATGACACTTAATTCCCTGGGCCGAGCTGTCCTTTTGCATCCTCTCCTTTCCTCCCCTTTTCCCTTCCCCACCCCACCCCCTTACAGCCCCAAGCACTATTCAGGAGAACATCATTTGGCTGAGAGCATGCAGTTCCAGGGGTTCATGGTCTCAAGGTCCCAAGTTCCTGGACACAGGCTCCAAGGTCACTGACTCCTAGACAGGGTCATTGGGAAGTCATCTGGTTGGGGAGACACTTGAGTCAATCACTAAAAGATGGGAGGAAAAAGTGGCCCCCCATGAATGGCCTGCTGGCTCAAGAAGTGCCCATTAGGGCTGTGAGCAGCCACAGGGTCACTCCAACTCATCCACACCCTGCAAAGATTACAAAGCATATTGCCTTACACATCGATTTTCATAACCACCCAGAGAAGCGAGCATTGATTATTAATCCATATTGCAGATGAGAAAACCAAGGCTCAGAAAAAGTTGTCAAGGGCAGACATTAAGAAAATGGCTAATCCAGACCCATGTCTATTTAGGTTTTCTAGACTTCTAGATTTATAGACTGGAGATGTGAGGTCTGGGCTGACAAATCATTGGGCCTTGGTTTCTCATCTTTCAAAAGAGGATAATCATCAAGGGCTAGTGTGGGAACTGGAAGAAAGGAAAGTGAGGTGTTGATGCCCATAGGCCCTCCCGGAGTGTGGTGAAAGGCAGCCTGGGCCCAACCAGGAGAGACCTCTGGACTCACCCTGCCCCATGGGTCAGGAAGAAGGTTTGCCCCTCACAGATGTATCTTCTCTTTCTTCCCCAGGGTCTAACTGGAGCCAAGGGTGAGCCCGGTCCCACGGGGATCCCTGGAGTCAAGGTAAGTGGCCTGCTAGAGGTTCAGCATGGGCAATCTAGGTACCAGAGTCTGGGAGGGGCTGTGGCAGAGAGGAGCAGAAATGTAGGAGACCCCAGCCTCTGAGCCTCTCCCATTGCTTTTGCAGGGCCAGCCTGGGCTCCCAGGGCCCCCCGGCCTGCCAGTGAGTATAACCTGTAATGGCTTTAAGGGACCCTTTGTAGGTAGGGGGACTTGTAAAAGGAGCCATGAACTTAATCTTTCCTTCTGTTTCAGGGCCCTGGCTTTGCTGGACCTCCTGTAAGTCCTCAGGGATGGGGCAGGGTCCCTGGGACTCTCAGAGGAGGATGGTAGAGAAGGGCTTCCAGCCTGGGGAGGGGCCAGCATACTGTGATGGTGTCAGAAATGGGCAGACTTGTCAGAGAACCCTGGGCCTATCCACTGGCTCTGAGATTCTCTGGTCCTTAAAGCCCTAATTTGTCCTAATTTGTCAGCTTCTCTGGGGCTGGTTGCAAGGCGAAAGTGGGGAAAGGGGCTCTGGGCCCCTGTTGCTATCTTTGTGGCAGGGCTGGGCTAACCCTCTGAGGCATCCTAGCCACTGATGTCTCTGCTCCTAGGGACCACCTGGACCTGTTGGCCTCCCGGGTGAGATGGGACTCACAGGCCCCAAGGTGAGCCCCAGCCACCCCTCTGCTCACTCTGTCTCCTGCCCTCTGCCTTCAAGCGCAAGCTGAGCACCTCTCCAGGAGTTCCTGGGCCTGCTTCTGGCCACCAGGAATCTCCTCCAGGTCTGGGCAGAAACCCCTCCTGCTGAGCACACACCAACGGCAGGGCGTCCTCTGCAGATCAGGCTTTGATCTCCCCAGATCTCAGGAGGGGACCTGGAGGGCAGGATGGACAGGGCAGTAGCAGGAACTGGAGCAGGGGTGAAAGGGTGACCTAGCCAAGGCTGGACAAGGGTATGATTTGGGCCTCTCTTGCTTCCAGGGGGATCCTGGACCAGAAGGACCATCAGGGCCCCCGGGACCCCCTGGGAAACCGGTAAGTGTCCTCAGACCTCCCACTGGCAGGGTGTGGCTGGGGAAGGACAAGGGTCTTCGGCACAAGCCTGGGGTGGGGACGGTTCGAGTCAGGTGCCATCTCCATACGTCTTTTCCCAGGGCCGCCCTGGAACCATTCAGGGCCTGGAAGGCAGCGCGGATTTCCTGGTGAGAGGCGGGGCCTGGGGCGGGGCTAGTCCGGGGAAGGGGCGGGTCATCTTGAGAGGGGCGGGCAAGGAGACAGGTTCCATCGGAAGGTAGGGTCCCTGGGAGACGGGAGAGGCTGCAGCGGAGAGGGGCAGCCTGGTGCGGGCGGAGGAGCGGTCTTAGGAAGCACTGCCCTGTTGGCCTGGGGCAGGCCAGTGACACAGAACCCTGCGGAATTTCTCTTCCAGTGTCCAACCAACTGTCCAGCGGGCGTGAAAGGGCCCCCGGGGCTGCAGGGCGTGAAGGTGAGCTTCTGGCCCAAGTCTTGGGGGGTGGAGCAGGGGAGCGGGGGACAGGACGCACTCTGAGCTGTCTCCTTCCCCGCAGGGGCATCCAGGCAGACGCGGGCTTCTGGGAGATTCCGGCCGCCAGGGGAAGCCGGTGAGTGCGAGGGCGGAGGGCCATGGGAGAGTGTGTGTGGAGAGGGCCTACTGGAGCCTCCCCGCATCCTTCTCCCTTCCCATTCCCTGAATGGGGCTCCGGGAATGAAGCCTTGAGCTGGGAGGCAGGAGCCTAGGCTCTAAGTCAGTGTGTCCCTGGGCAAGCTCCTTCCCTTGCTGTGCCCCCATTTCCGTATCTGTCATCCCTGGGACCCTATGCTTTCCAGGACGCCTTCCTGTCTGCTCTTGCTGAGAAGACGATGTTGTCTTTGGTTGTCTGAATATTTGTCTCTCGATCTGCCTGCCTATCTGATCTCTCTTTCCTGGCCCTTAGGGTCCCAAGGGAGATGTGGGTGTCTCTGGAGAGCAAGGCATCCCTGGACCACCGGTAAGGAACACTTTCCCTGCCCCACCCCCACCCCCCTAGGAGACCTCAGTGGAGTTATTCCCTTGCTCCAGCCTCTAACTGGTGGAAGAGATACCTGTGTCCAGCTGGTGAGGCTCTGGATGAGGCTGGCTGTGAGACACTGGGGGACTGGAACCAAGGCTGCTGTCAGCCAAAAGGCTCAGCTGAGGCCCTGGTTCTGCCACTGTTCCTTTGAGTGACTCTGGTGAGTCCCTGGCATCTCTGAGCCTCACTGACCATCTGTGACAGGGACTCTGTGCCTGCCTCAGGAAGACATCAAGAAGGCTGGGCTGGGGTTCAGGGAAGGTGTCATGATGTGGGCCTTCTAGTTGCCATCACTGTCATTCTTCTGTCTTGACAGGGTCCCCAGGGCATCAGGGGCTACCCAGGCATGGCAGGACCCAAAGGAGAGACGGTGAGTGGGTCTGGGGGGTGTCCTGTAAGAAAGAGCTGCCAGGACCAGCCCTCTGGCTTCTGGGGTCCAACCAGGACTGACCCACAATCTCTCCTCTCCCCAGGGCCCTCAGGGGTACAAAGGCATGGTGGGCTCCATCGGTGCTGCTGGGTCACCTGTGAGTCTGCTCCTATTCCCTGCCGCCACCTTCCTCCCCTGGACACAGCTTCTGGGGCTGCAAAAGGTGTGACTTCCCCAAGCCCATGTAACTTGGATTTCTGTCTGTCCTTCTTGCCAGGGTGAGGAAGGTCCACGGGGACCACCAGGCCGAGCTGGAGAGAAGGGTGATGTGGTGAGTCCTCAATCACCCCTATTGCAGTCAGGGCTCTGGGAGGAGAACTGGGTAGACTCAGCTCCACCCAAGGCTCAGGTGTATTATACAGAGGTGCACACGTGTGTCTGCGTGTGTTCACATGTAGACGCCCGTGCCCATGTGTTATTCTGTGTGTCTGTGCATGTGGGTGGCTGATGTGAGGGTGAAACATCTGTTCCCATAGCCCAGCTAGTTCCAGCAGCTCCTTCCTCCAGGCCCCGCCTCCTGCTGGTCAAATTCAGGCTTAGGGAGAAGCTGTAGGATCCAGTCCCACGGTCACCAGGCCAGACAATGAAATTCCAACAAATCAGTCATGGGGCTAATGGGATTTGGCCCAGATCCCAGTTCTCTTAACTCTCTCCTTTTTAAAATTAATAAGAGTATTTCTTCTGAGCAATTTTGAGTTTACGGAAAAATTGAGCAGAAAGTAAAGTTAGGGGTTTTGTTGTTATTGTTAGTTTTTTTTTTTTATTATGCAAGTTTTTCAGTTTAGTTCAGTTCAGTCGCTCAGTCATGTCTGACTCTTTGCAACCCCATGAATCGCAGCACGCCAGGCCTCCCTGTCCATTACCAAGTCCCTGAGTTTACTCAAACTCAGGCCCATCGAGTTGGTGATGCCATCCAGCCATCTCATCCTCTGTTGTCCCCTTCTCCTCCTGCCTCCAATCCCTCCCAGCATCAGGGTCTTTTCCAATGAGTCATCTCTTCGCATGAGGTGGCCAAAGTATTGGAGTTTCAGCTTTAGCATCAGTCCTTCCAATGAACATATAAGGGCTCACTATATTATTCTCCCTACTTTTGAATATGTTTAAAAACTTTTGAATATGTTTAAAAATGCAAGTTTTTAAACATATTCAAAAGTAGGGAGAATAATATAGTGAGCCTTTATGTCCCTCTCTCCCCAAATTAATCTTTTGCCACACTCACTTCATCCATCTCCTTCTCCCCTTCTTTCCTTCACTGCTTTGCTCTGATATTTTCAAGCAAATTCTTAACATTATGTCATGTTACCCATTTCACTTCTCAATGTATCTCTTAAAAATAAGGTTCCTCACATAGCCACAATATCACTATCACACCAGCAAAATTATCCAGTTATTCCTGAACATAATCTAATCATCAGCTTGTGCTCCATTTTTCCTAATGATTTCAACAATGTCTTTTCAGGGTTCTTGTTCAAATCAAGACCCAAACCAACTCCACACATTGTCTTTGCTTGCTGTGTTTCTTCACATCAGTGTTGCTCAAGGCCTTGGTGGGTCACACTGGCTCCTTCCCTGTCCTGCTGCTGCTCCCACCCAGCTTGCTTGGCGCCCAACTCTACACCCTCCCACAGGGTCCAGGGCGAAGTCACACAACTAGAACCCTCTCCACCAGCCCCTGCCCAGCATGGCCTGTGCCACGGGGACCCTGGGACTCAGAGGTCACTGTTCTCAGCAGTTCTCTGAATAGCCAGACCGGGATTCAGCCTGCTGAGGGTGGTCTGCTCTCTGTCTACTTTGCAGGGGAGCCAAGGAGTTCGAGGACCCCAGGGAATAACAGGCCCAAAGGGAGTAACCGTAAGTGGGCAGAGGGCAGGGTCCAGGGGGTCTCCAAGCCCCCAGAGGAGGAGGAGCCTGGGGTTCCAGACTGAATTCTGTTGCCAGTGGGCTGGCTCTGTCACCTCAGGAAATGCCTTCTTTCTGTGCCTCAGTTTTTACTATTTACTATTTACCACCTGTAAATAGAGTGATGATGTAGGAGGGGTTTTGGGACACTCATCACCCACACAAGGGAAGGACTGTCATCCATCCCATGAAATCCCTTCCTACTTCCATTCCCCTCCCCCCGTTAGCTGCTGGGGCTTCCCAAGATGACCAGGCCCACTTCCCACCTGCACAGTGCCCCCCACAGAGGGACATGGGTGGGGGCCCTGACCCCAGGCATCTTCCCATTGTGAATCTCCTTTCAATTTTCCTGCTGAGCAGGGACCCCCAGGCATTGACGGCAAGGACGGGACCCCAGGCATGCCTGGAGTGAAGGTAGGAGTGGGGACGGCCCCTGGGGTGGGGGTGAGGGTCAGGGTTCCTCCCAGCTGAGGCTCTGAGTCCCATTGCACTGAGCCTGGAGGCCTTGGAGCCTGGAATCCTCAGGTGTGTCACCAACACGTTCCTTCTTGCTTCGGGGCCTCCGTTTCCCTGCCTGCACTCGGGTGGGGGCCATGGACCCCCGGCTGGAGCTCTCATTTGTGCCTCTGCTTCTGTCTCTCGCAGGGCAGCGCAGGACAGGCGGGGCGGCCGGGAAACCCAGGCCACCAGGGCCTAGCGGTGAGTACAGGGTGGAGCCGTGGGGGCCACCACAGGGCACGTCGCTTCTCCTCCGCCGAGAGGCCAGGCACTCTGTGGCCCACTTCCCCAAAGTGGTGTGAGTGGCTGATGAGGTGGAAGTCACACCCAGGACTCATGCTCTGGACTTTGTCCCTGCTCAGCTCAGGCCTTCTCACCAACTCTGGCCTGGCTTAGGCCTCCTCATTTGGACAGCTGCCCCAGCCTTCTCTTAGATTATACCAACCCTCCATGTTGGCTAAGTGGAATCAGACCATTTCCCTGCTAAATACCTTCCATGGTGTTCCACCCTCCCTGTTCCCCAACTCCTTCCCCACCGACACCACTGCCTCCAGGAAAATGTCCTTCTGTCCAGTCATTCGGCAGAGTCACTGAGGTACAGAAAGTGGCAGGGGAACAGTATGACCAGGATAGCTACACTCCTCATCCTCACAGCTCATCTCAGCATCCAAGGACCACCGCAATCTGACCCGTCAGCCACTGCCCCTCTTCACCCTCTCCCTTCTCAACAGAGCCTCAGCCTTTCTACCGCCACACCTTCAGGCCTTTACTGGTCCCCCTTATTGGGATGCCCTTCCCATCTCTGAGTCTTCTCACAGTCCAGGCCCACCTCCGTCCCCCACCTTCTGGGAACCCCCATCCTTCCCTGCCAGAGATACTTAAGTTGAGGACTGCTGACATATCCAGGTGCAGACTGTGTTCCTGTGTGTACTCGCGTGTGCTCCACTTCTCCCCATGGACCACAGGCCTTGGAAAGCAGGTCCTTCTGTCCCTATGTCCTGTCTCACCAGGGATTCGGGGCTGGGCACAGTCAAGTTCATGGCTGGGCCTTCTGCTCTTCAGCTCCCAGAAGGCGAGGGAGGCATCTGGGAGGCAAAGTAGCAGATGCTCGGGGCTCCCCGCTGCCAGGGGAGAAACTGACATCAGCTTCCTTCTACAGGGAGTGCCTGGTATGCCTGGAACAAAAGGAGGCCCTGGAGACAAGGTAAGGTGACCCCAGGCTAGGGGCAGAGAGTTGGCTTCATCTGAGCAAGGGAGCCTGAGGGCAGGGACCAGGGGCATGGCTTAAAGACTGCAAGGTCCAGGCCTTCTCAGGCTCAGAGACTGGGCCTGAACACAGGTTCATTGGGCCTAACCACCTCCCTCCGGTCGCCTCCCTCCCACCTCTCATCCTGGCTAGAGAACAGGATGGCATGGCTACAGATCAGTGGAGTCCAGAGGACCTGACTAAGAACCCGCTCCGCTTCTCAACTCATTTGGTTCCAGAGTCTGTTTAGCATTCACCTGGCTTCTCCAAGGCCAAACAAGAGCCTGACTAGGCTACACAAACTGACCTTAGAACTCTTTTCCTGCAGGGTGAGCCGGGCAGGCAGGGCTTCCCTGGAGTCTCTGGTCCCCCCGGGAAGGAGGTAAGTTCCCCCTCCTCTGACTCAAGGGCTCTTCTTGCTTTCCTTCCTCCCCATCCCTCTCTCCAGGCCTGAGGACTCTGCTTTCAGCATTTGGGGCAGAGTGAGACTGTGGGGTGAAGCCCTAGCCGCAGAGTGCCCTCGGGGCTGGACGCTCAGGGCTCTGCCGCTGACCCAGGAAAGCTCTCATCTCTCTCTGCCCCCATTCCCCTATGTACCGTGCAGAGAGGATGGGGCTGCTTCTGTCCTGGGGTATGACCTCTCCAGATGACTGGGGCTGACAATCCAGCAGACAGAATCATTCACTCATTGCATAAATATTCACCAAATATCTGCAACCCACTAGCCACTGAGATAGACAGTCTCCTATTTACATAGAGCTTACAGATTCCTGAGAGAGGCATTGAATTAAATAAAGACCCCAAATGTATTGGGTCTTATGAAAGAAAAGGACAGGGACCCAAAGAAAGAAGGTGAAGGAAGTCTTCCCTGATAAAGCAAATTAGCTGAGCCCCAGGGGTGGGTAGGGGTTGGTCAGGTGTTGAAAGGAGGGATCCTCCAGGCTACTGCTCACCTCCGGATTTCTCTGTCCCCCAGGGAGAGCCAGGGCCTCGAGGAGAAATCGGTCCCCAGGGCATCATGGGGCAGAAGGTAAGTGCCTGGCACAGTGGTCCCTCCCTGGGGCCGTCTGCAGCAGCTGGCACTGCTGGACCCAGGATCTGGGTCCTTTCAAGGCTCCATTGTGAGGCCTCCCCAGCCAGGGCCTCAGTTTGCTGGTCTGTGAAGTGGAGCCAAGGACCTCCATGGTAGTGACAGCAGGAACAGAGAGCACTCTGACCATGCAGGGTCTGGGATCTGGCAGGGAGAGGCTGCCCCGGCTGATGGCTGGGGTGTGACCTTCACTTTCCATTTCAGGGTGACCATGGTGAGAGGGGGCCAGTGGGGCAGCCAGGTCCTCAAGGCCGGCAGGTAAGTACAGGGCAGCTGAGATGGGCTCTGGGAGTATGTCTGGGCACCTTGTCTGACTTATTCCTCTGGTTTCTTTTCTCCTCAGGGCCCCAAAGGGGAACAGGGTCCCCCCGGAATTCCAGGGCCCCAAGGCTTGCCAGGCATCAAGGGAGACAAGGTACTAACTGGGACTGAAAAATACCAGGGAAAAAGACCTTCAGATTTGAGGGAGCGGTTAGTGGAGCTCCAGTGCCTCAAATCCACCTGGAAAAATGACCCCCCTGCAGGTCCCCAAGGGCCCTGGGGGGCGAAGTGGAGCTTGGGAGGGGGCTGTAGCTGGGAGCCGGGGTTGGGGGAACCTGTGGGCCTAGCCTGCCCTGGATCGGAGCTCACCAGGCTCTGGACTCCCCAATTTAAACAGGGTTCCCCAGGGAAGACCGGGCCCCGCGGTGGAGTGGTGAGTGCCAGCAACCTGCCTTCCCTGCACCCCCCTCTCTACCCCCCCCACCCCCCCCCCCCCGCTCCGCGCCCCGCCCCACACCATCAGGGCTTCGTCTCTCGCATCGCATCGGGGTGGGGGGGCGCGGGTGTCACAGGCCAGTGCAGCCCCTGTTCCCATGCCCTGCGGGGCCACCGCGATCTGACTGTGTCTCAATCTGCAGGGCGACCCGGGGGTGGCTGGCCTCCCAGGAGAAAAAGGCGAGAAGGTGAGAAGGCTGCGCGGGGTGGAGGAGGGGAGCAGCGGGCGGGCCCGGGCACCCCACCGCCTCGGGACAGCACCTTCTTGTGCCTACAGGGCGAGTCCGGCGAACCAGGACCCAAGGGACAGGTGAGTCCTGCAGCTGTGACGCCACCTTCCCCCGCTCCTGCCGCCCCCCGCCCCCCACTTGTTGCCTCAGCGCCCCTGGGGACTAGGACCGCGACTCCCCCGGCTTCCCTGCACCCCACCCCATCCTTCCCCTACTCCTGCATAACCCCCCAACCCCCACCCCTGCGCTTGAGTCCCCTGATTCCCACTGGGAACCCAACCCGCCCCGCAGCAAGGAGTCCGCGGAGAACCTGGCTACCCCGGCCCCAGCGGAGATGCGGGCGCCCCGGGGGTGCAGGGCTACCCGGGGCTCCCGGGCCCTCGAGGACTGGTTGGAGACCGAGGCTTGCCCGGACAGCCCGGGAGGCAGGGCGTGGCGGTGAGTTGGCCTCCAGGGAAGGAGGAGTCTTCTGTTTGGATTGGTTGCTGCTTATCCTCTCAAAGGCTGGGAGTTCCTTCCCTGAGGCTGGTACCAAGCCCCGAGATCAGAGAGGATGGGTGTGGGTGCTGGAGGGGTTTCAGTCAGATGCTGAAAATACCTCGGGTGAGAAAATGTGAAAAGGAAGGGGTTATAGCACCAGAGCAGTCAGACCTGGCAGCCAGGGGCTTCTTCTTGAAAGACATCCTCTGCTTTCAGGGCCGAGATGCCAGTGACCAGCACATCGAGGACGTGGTTCTAAAGATGCTGCAAGGTGAGGGGGCACCAACTCCTCCTCCTCACCTCCAGGGCATCGCCACCCTTCAGAAGACTCTCCATGTGGCCTTGTGGGAGAGTCACGAGTTGTGGGTGGCCATTCCAGCTCTGCCTCCAAGGGGCTGGGGGCCTTACCTGTGTCCTCACCCACTTAGGACCTTTGATGTCTCCAGAACAGCCTGAGGAAGGGGGAGGTTGACCCTCTGTTCTGTCTGCACACCTAGTGGCCAGAGGCCAGGATTCTCTGCCTTCCCAGTTTTACTGAGCCACACCCATCTTACAGACTTCTCTGTCTCCTCCCTCCCTCCAGAGCAACTGGCAGAAATGGCTGTGAGTGCCAAACGGGAGGCCCTGGGTGCAACTGGGATGATGGGTCCCCCAGGACCCCCTGGGCCTCCTGGGTACCCAGGCAAACAGGGACCCCATGGGCACCCTGGCCCTCGGGGCATTCCTGGCATCGTGGGAGCCGTGGGTCAGATTGGCAACACCGGGCCCAAGGGTAAGTGCTGTTCTGTGGTGGTCGGGAGATGGGACCACTGTGCTCAGTTATACAAGCTGATGGCTCAGCCTCCTGTTTTATCTTTCATCATTCCCCTTCCTAGGATGAGGCTCTCCCATATAACTCCTGGGCTTGCTTTTTCAGTAGCAAATTGATAGAAACAAATGTACTAATTTATAGCCTGAGTTTTTTTGGGGGGGTGGGGGGAATGTTGTTTCTGTTTTAAATTGACTTAGTGGTACTCCATAAACATCCCTCCATGTCTCTAGAAGTGGGGAGGCAGATGAATAAAACAGTAAAGAAGGCAAGCTCGAGTCAGAGCAGGTGTGAGTCCAGACTGTGTCACTTTCTCATTGTGGCTCTTGGACAAGTTACCCATTAATATTCCTGGGTCTTAGATTTATCATCTGTGAAATGGAGTTATTTATAGTAACAATCTCATAATTGCCAGGAGGATTACATTTAGAGGTAATTTACAAGGAGTTGGTAAATGCCCACTATTGACATTACCAGACACTTTCCTGTAATGAACTTTATCAGCTTTATAGTCTTCCATCCTTTGGACTTGCCTTTACTTAATCAGTTCTGCAGTCATTTCCAACTGTCTCCTATTATAAACTAGCAAAAAATAGAAATAATTGTGTGTGAAATAGAAATTAAATATCAAGCCAAGAAGAAAAAAAATTTCCTATTCTTAAAAACTAAGGCTCGGTTCTTTCTCTGCAGGAAAACGTGGAGAGAAGGGCGATCAGGGAGAAGTTGGCCGTGGGCACCCCGGGATGCCTGGGCCCCCCGGGATCCCAGGTAAGACCTTGGCCCTGCCCAGTAGCAGTCCTGTCCCTCAGTCCTGGGATTAATGACCTGAGACAACTCGGTCTCTTCCATGGAGGCCTCCCTCATGCTCTCACAACATGAGGCCAACTCAGTCCCACGCATCCAATTTTTGCATCCCTTTGGAGCAGCCAGGAGCCTCTGGGTCAGGTCTGGCTGGGAACTGGACAGCTGGGATTCCAAGGACTTCCTGGGTTACACAAAAACCTGCTTCACGGAGGGAAGGGAAGGGGCATTTATTCCCCTGACTCACTGGGAGTAATGGACCATGAGACATAACTCTCTTAGAACCTGTGTCTGGGGCAGAGTCCCTTCTTTCTGTGGTGTCCTTGACTTCAGTTTCCCTGAGAGACTGAGGAATTCGAAGGCCGAGATAGAAGGAGGCCTTGATGTCTTGACCTCTTTCCTTCCACAGGACTGCCTGGCCGGCCTGGTCAGGCAATCAACGGCAAAGACGGAGATCGAGGGGCTCCAGGGGCCCCAGGAGAGGCAGGTCGACCTGGCCTGCCAGGCCCCATGGGGCTGCCAGGCTTCTGTGAGCCTGCGGCCTGCCTTGGAGCCTCAGCCTACGCCTCTGCACGCCTCACGGAGCCTGGATCCATCAAGGGGCCATGAGCATCAGGCCAAGACAGAGCCCAGTGGGCATCCTGGGGGTGGGGAAAGGACTCGGGCCCCTCTGGGTGGACATGCACCCCATGCCTCAGTCCAGGAAACTAGTTTTCCAGGACCTTCCATCTGGGATCCAGGAGTCCTGAGGAAAAGGAAATTCTAAAACATGGGGGAAGGGAGGGCATCAGATGAAAAGGTGAGGCCAAGAGGGCACGTGGCACTGGAGAGTCCACGGTCCAGAGAGGATGGGGTGGCCTTTGTTCCTGGAGCATGGCTCGGATGTCATCAAAACAAACGTGTCCTTAATCTGCATCATCCTCCACTGGCCATCTTGTCCTTGGGGCAAATGGACTGAGGCCTTTGCTAGTTCCTGATCCCATTTTCACCCCCCGGCTTACTGGGTGACTGCCCAGAGGGGGCCATCCTTAAGCCAGTCCTCTACTTCCTACCTACCTTCCTCCCATCTGAGTATTTAAACACCCATCTCCCTTCCCTTCCTGGCATCACCCTTTCCCATCAAACCCTAGATCCACCCAGGCCTTTCTGTAAATAAAAACCCTCAACTTGGGTACAAGCCAAGATATGAGTGCTGAGCTTAATTTCTCGTGGGTTAGGAGTGGGCCCCCACGACCTGAGCAGGAGGGTCAGGGGTTCTAGAAGGGGGAGGGTAGAAGGTGGGGTACTTTCCTCTGAGCACATCCTGAACTGTGAGGGTGGCCTGGCCTATTTTAGGAATGCCTGTGGGATAAACCTGCAGGTAGAATCAGGATGGTGACCTGCTGTCTAGCTGTGGGCAGATCCCTTCCCAGCCTTTGTACAGCTGGGCAAGGACCCAGCTCGCCTCATTTATCCTGTAGAGAGTACCCAGTGTCTCGCCAGAGCCCGGCCCACAGGAGGTCCTCTGTGAGTTTTGGCACTCAGCGTGTGCTGGCCTTGGGGCAGGAGCTGGCAGCCAAAGATGGGAGGACCTGGCTCCTGCCTTCCAGGGGTTACCAGGTCCGTGAGACAGACAGACCTGAACCTGGATGATGAGAACAGAAGTGACATTCAGTCATGCCACTTTCACTGAGGGGACATCCAGGGGAGACTGGCTCGGATGTGTCCATCTGGGGGCTCCCAGCCTCATTAGCTGTGTAGGCCAGCAAGGCTGCTCCAAGCAGCAGGAGCAGGAAAGGGTGTGGCAGGTGCCTCTGGCCCATGTGACGGTGGGAGCTGTTGAAATTCAGCGAGTGACCAACCCCCTTGGCTCCATTATTGATCTGGGCATTTATTCCCCAAATGAAGAGTTCTGCTGGCTCCCTCCAGGAGACATAAGAACTCCAGCCTGAGGTCCCAGCATCTGATGAAGCCTGGGCCCTCCTACACCTCACCCTAAACTTGGCTGTATGTCCCCATTTGTACTGAAGCAGCCTTCTCTTCCCGGCCAGCAGAGGCTGGGACTCTCCTCAACAGCCTCCCCTGCCTGCATACACACACACACCACGGGTGACTTCTCAGCTCCATTACCCCTGGTGCTGCCATAGGCTGCTGGGGGAACGCTTGGAATGCAGAGAGAATCGAGCGTTCAGTGCGGGGGAAGCAGATGAGGGCTGCAGGAGGCAGTGAAGACTGGCCTCGAGCTGGCTCCCAGGTCTATCATACCTGATGGGGAAGTGTTCTCCTTTGCAAAGCCATGGCTCTTTACTTGTCCTGGTGCTTGAGACTTTGGACTTAAAGAGCCAGTCTACTTAGTCCTTGAGGTTTCCTGGCCTCCCTTCTTGTCCCTCTCCACTGGAGGATTTGAATTACATGATTCACAGGTCTTAAGCAGGGTTACACTTCATTCCTTATGACTCGGAGGCATTCGAAGGAGCCGAAAGGGGGCTGACTCCCAGGGACTAGTGGCAGGGAGCCTTTCTTTTACTTCCTGGAGGGTGGTTCACTCAGGAAAAACCCACATCCTTACTGTGATCTACAAGCCTCTCTGATGTCATGTCCATGCTTGGACCCTGGCTCGTTTCCTTCCAGCCACTCGAGCCTCTGCACTGCTCCTCAAACATGCTGTGCCACATGCATGCTATTTATGCTCTGAACCTGGAAAGCTCTTTTCCAAAATGTAGTCCACGATCTCAGGTCAGGTCTTTACTCAAAAGTGACCTTCCCATCCCTACCCCAATGTTGATACTCATCTTGGGTTTTACTATTTTTCCTTAGCACTTACCCCTATTCAACATACAACATATATCATATACGGGCAGAAACTCTGGTCTCATTGGCCACTCCATTCCCCACCACATAGAACAGTGCCTGGTAGGGAGCTTATGTAAAACATAAGTGACTATATAGTTGATAAGACTATATAATGGAAATTTGCTGAGAGTAGAATTCAAATGTTTCACCAAAGATACATACATGCATACATACTCTATACATATGAGAAAAATCATGTGTAAAAAGAAAAATAAGAGTTTCAAAGACTAAAACAAAACAGTGCCTAGCACATAGCAGGTACTCAATAAAATAGTGATTAAGTGAACGCATAATTATGTTCAGGATGCTCAGAGAGAACTCCACCAATCATCAAACCAGGAAGGGATTTGGTCTCAGCTTGTGTGTGGCTGAGGCATTTCTTAAGATGGTCCAAAGCAGCAGTCGCCAACCTTTCTGGCACTAGGGACTGGTTTCTTGGAAGACAATTTTTCCACAGACTGGGGGAATTAGGGGGGGTGGTTTTGAGATGATTCTCATAAGGAGCGAGCAATCTAGATCCTTCAAATGTGCAGTTCACAGAAGGGTTCACACTCCTGTGAGACTATAATACCACTGCTGATCTGACAGGAGGCGGAGCTCAGGGGGTAATGTGAGTGATGAGGTTGCATTTAGTCTCTCAGTCGTGTCTGATTCTTTGTGACCTCATGGACTGTAGCCCGCCAGGCTCCTCTGTCCATGGGGATTCTCCAGGCAAGAATACTGGAGTGGGTTGCCATGCCTTCCTCCAGGGGATCTTCCCAACCCAGGGATTGATCTCAGGTCTCCTGCAGTGCAGGAGGATTCTTTACCAACTGAGACACCAGGGAAGCCTGAGTGATGAGCAGCAGCTGTAAATACAAATGAAGCTTTGCCTGCTCGCTCACTGCTTACTGCCTGCTGTACTTCTGTGGGTTGAGGGCCCCTGGCCTAGAGCATCCAGGTTATTCCCTCCACCACCAAGAGTGGGTCTCAATATGATGGCATTGGGTGGGCTTAGAAGCTGACAAAGACTTCCGTCGGGTAAGCACTGGCAAGAGCAGTAGAGCAGCAGTAGAAAGGCTACCCTGTTTCTGGTAGGGGCAGAATTAGTTCAGTTAGTTCAGTTCAGTTCTGTCGCTCAGTTGTATCCGACTCTGCGACCCCATGAGCTGCAGCACACCAGGCCTCCCTGTCCATCACCAACTCCCGGAGTCTACCTAAACCCATGTCCATTGAGTTGGTGATGCCATCCAATCATCTCATCCTCTGTTGTCCCCTTCTCCTCCTGCCCTCAACCTTTCCCAGCATCAGGGTCTTTTCAAATGAGTCAGCTCTTCCCATCGGGTGGCCAAAGTATTGGAGTTTCAGCTTCAACATCAGTCCTTCCAGTGAACACCCAGGACTGATCTTCTTCAGGATGGACTGGTTGGATCTCCTTACAGCCCAAGGGACCCTCAAGAGTCTTCTCCAACACCACAGTTCAAAAGCATCAGTTCTTCGGCACTCAGCTTTCTTTATAGTCCAACTCTCACATCCATACATGACTACTGGAAAAACCATATCCTTGACTAGATGGACTTTTGTTAGCAAAGTAATGTCTCTGCTTTTTAATATGCTATCTAGGTTGGTCATAACTTTCCTTCCAAGGAGTAAGCGTCTTTTAATTTCATGGCTGCAGTCACCATCTGCAGTGATTTTGGAGCCGCCACTCTCATGCTGTTCATGAGGTTACAATCAACTATAGTGGATGAGGAGAAATGCGTCCTGTGCCCCTTTGAATACATTTCTGCTAAGCACCTCAAACTCAACTCATCCAAAACTGGTCGCCCCCCTGCCCCTAACCAGCTCCTCAGGGTCCCTTATCTTAGTATCTAGTTCTACCATCCACCTAGTACCCAGGACTGTGAAACCTGCATCATCTTTAACTCTATCTGCCTTCACCTTGTCTTGCAAATTCATCTCCCAACCCTGTTGACCACCTTTTCACTCATTTGTTTAGCAAATATTTATTCATTCATTCTTTGAGTGCTGTTCTTTGTCTCCTCAACAAGAATATAAGCTACATGAAACAAGGGATCTTGTCCTGTTCCCTGATGTACCCTCAGAGCTTACAAAAATGTATGGCATTTGGCAGGGATTTAATACATATCGGCTAAATGCCTAAGTGTATTATTCAGGATAATATCCATTTGTTTTATTATGGCACACAGGCCTTTACACGTGGCCTTCTTCCTCTCCAGCCCCACTTCCCACTCTAACATCTCATAGTCCCCCAAGTGCCCCATGTTCTCATAGTTTTGTACCCCCTTGCCCTTGTCTACCCGATTCCTTCTCTTTGAAAACTTAATCATGTCCTCTAGTAATCCTCTCCTCACTCCAACTGCCAGCTGCATTAGGCACTTCTGTTTTTGTGCTTATTTACACCATAGCAATTATGATGAATTATTAATATCATTATCACCATTATTAATCAGCTATTGACCTCTTATCATCTGTTGTGCTAAACATCCTGCAAACGTGATCTCATTCAACCCTTAAGACAGCTCCAAAAACCAGGTATTATCCCCATTTGTCATGTTAAAAAATGAATCTCTCTCAATCCCACGTCTGCTGACAGCTACCATCCCATATTGTTGCTCCTCTGTATGGGAATAAAAAGTTGCTTGAAAAAAGTTAAAACAAACTTTGGCTGCTAGCTCACCACCTGTCCTACTCAGATTCCTCGGCTGGGTCTCTCATCTCCCCAGCATGTGAAAGTCAGAGGACCACATGGCTGGGACACATCTTTTTCTCTCACTCCTCTTGTGGTCTCATTCAGTTTAGTGGCTTTAAATTCGCCTGTAACTCCCTAGGTTGAATCTCTCCCCTTAATTCACTTGCCCACTCAACATCCCCCCTTGGATGTCTAGTAGATATCTCAATTTTAACATGAGGAAAATGTTAAGATGCTCTGCCCCTCCAAAATCCCCCTCCTCGCCATCACAGTTACTGGCAACGCAATTCTCTCTGTGACTTAAGCTAAATATGCTGGAGGCATTCTCTCCTCCACTCTTTCTTGTACCTCGGTCTGATCCATCAGTAAATCCTGTTGGCTCAGCCTTCAAAATATTTCCAGAATCCAACCACTTCTCATCACTTCCCTACCACCCTAGTATCCATTTTTACTTTTTGCTGTTAGTACTGCAAGAGCTTCCCAACTAGTCTCCGGCTTGTACCTTTGCTCCTCAACCTAGTAGCCAGCGATCCTGTTAACACTTAGATCATGTCATTCCCTGACCGCAAGCCCTCCAATGGCTTCCCCTCTGCAGTCTAATCAAAGTCCGAGTCCCTCCAGTGGCCTACAAGGCCCTCTAAATCTTCTGCATTTCTACCCCTCAGACTTTATCTCCTACCATATCTTCTTAGAACACCCCATCCCAGCCTCTCCGGCCTTGTGGGGTCTCTCAAACGCCAGGCTCACTCCCACATCAAGGCTTTTACACTTGCTGTTCATGTTCACTCTTCCTGGAATGCTCTTCCTCCAGGCCTTTGTTCAAACATTACCTTCAGTGACACTTTTTTACAACCATCCTGTTAAAAATGACAACTTTCACAACTTCCCTCCTTACTCCACAAACATCTCAGGCCTTCCTTTTTCTCTAAGACATGTATCACTATTGAATTTCTATTTTGACTGTCTGTTTCTCCATCCTAGAATGTAAACTCCACGAGGCGGGGCTCTTTTCTATGGTCTATTTGCTCATGCATCCTGCAGCACCTACAGCAGAGCTTGGTACAGCGTGGGGGCCCCATAGGTACTGACTAAATAACAGACGAGAGACATAAAATCTCAGTCAGTTTCTTACCCAAGGTCTTCCTAGTAAGTGGTGTGTTACATTCTAGAGCCCTGCCCTGGATCTTAAGCCTAAGTGAAGCTTCCCTGTCTGTCATTCATCAGGCAGAGAGCCACAGGGGAGCTCTCTCCTGAAGGTGCAGGCTTCATCCTCCTCGCCAGGTGTTAACAGTCCTGGCTTCACAGGGTTTTTAGGACACATGGAGGTATCTTCCTATCTGTTCGAATTGTTTGGGAAACCCTCTTCGCTGGAAACCACCCTGGATAAGAAGAGAAGAGCAGAGGTCTTCCTATCCATATCATCTGAATAGGGCTATACCATCCCACTGTGAATTGTTCCAGCTCATCCACCAGACTGTAAGAGCCTGGCGCAGAACTTACTTGCTCATATCATCATGATCCTGAATCAGGAGTTTTTAGGAAGGGGTTCTCTGTACTTTTTCTTTGTATGGCATCTAAGACAGAACTTAAGGCCTTCAAGGTAAGCTTTCTGCTATGGGAAAACTTTTCTGCAAACGATGGTAGAACTCTCAAAACAATCAAAACTACATGAAGTACATATGCACAAAAGAAACCCAAAGATGGATGACAAAGACGGAGTGGAAGAAGGAGTCCTCAGCGAGCGGAGTTACCACACAAAGGATTAGGGGTGACCATGAGGATATACAGGTTAGAGGGCAAGCTGGGACCAGCACTGCTATTAAAATCACTAACGTGATCCCAGCTCCTATCCTAAACAGAGGTATCATTTACTAGTAGCTCTCAGACTTTAGCAGAGGACCAAGATGGACAAAGGCAGTATATACACACAACAAGGACGCTGCCTTAGATTCAGAAATCAACCCCGCTGAGGTCATGCCATTTTATCGGGGGCCTTGATCTACTTCATTCTGTCCACCAAGTATTAGGGTATAGAGTGTAACCTCCTTCCCTCCGTGGCTGGCCTTTCTCCCTCCCTTGATTGGCCAATACCTCAGGAACTACCAGGAGTACCCTCTGGCCATCCCTAGGCCTCCCATAATCTGTAGGGGACCAGGTCAAAACGATCACATATTAAAAAGCTAGTTATTGCTGCCACATGAAAAGAAGACCGAAGAGGCAGCTGGAGTAGACCAAACAGACCAAGACAATGAGAGGTTATGGGAATGGAGAAGGAATGGTTCTGAACGACGCGTCGGAGGAGACATCAGCAAGAATTGGTGATGCTCTGGAGTGGCGCGGGGGGAAGGCAGTGAAGAGGGCTCTGAGTGAGGTGCAGCCATGGTCCTGCCACCATGCAGCACTGCGGCTGTTCCTTCACCTGCTCTTCACTAGTGGCGCTCAGCTCCCCTAGGGTAATACACATACATCCCAGGTAACAAATGACAGACAGATTTTGTCAAATCAAAGACAAAGTACATCAATCTGCATTGGCAATTTTTAATGTTTCACTGGGTAGAACTGAAATTTTGTATTTAAAGGCAAGGAAAGAAGGAAAGGCAGTTATCATGAATTCATAGGTAAAAGATGCTGGATAAAATCATAGGACTGTTCCTTAGGAAAATAAATAATGTGGTACTAAACTAGAGGCTTATTTTTATTATGATTCCATGTAGAGACATCATCCAAATATCAGCTGAGCAAAAGACTTTCTGGCCAGAGGCCCAGCGCACACAGTTGATCCCACTTTGGAATAAATGCCTAGAAGGTACACATCACCAGTGAGTGGGACTCTGGGCACAAAGTTGGGTCTCATTCAGAAAGTGAACAGAGGTGTGAGTCAGACATGCAGCTTCAAAAACTGTAAATCTTTCATGACATTTGTTTTGAAAATAAAAATTGCCTGCATATCAAGAACTATAATTTTCTAAAATGGAATTAGGCCTGATTAAATAAAATAGTACTCACGACTTACTAATAAAAATTAGAAAAATAAAAACAGAAACTCTTCTGTCCAGAGATAGAAAATTATATTTCTTCCTGTAACATCATAAGAGAATGATCAGTATTTCACCATTATGTCTCTTAAAATGTCATTTCTTCTTCTTTCCACATTCTCCCACTTTTAACAGCAAAACCTGTTCAATATGGCAATTTCTGCTAAGTAAAAGGATGTACTATTTATTGAATACTTAAGAGTATGAATGAAAAAAGCTGAATGTTTGGGAAAATACTATATTGCCCCTAATGGGATCATACCCACCAGGTGGAAAGAAAGATAAAGACTGATATTTTCTAAAAAAGAAAAACAAAACCCAAATACTCTGTACATAATTTCTAATTTCAAAACATTATTAGGAATTCCTGATCAGTGTATAACAAGAAAGGGAACCAAGAAATTTGGTAGAATAGTAGAGAGCATATTTCTAACTACTTTCAGTTACATAACATCAGCCTTATGAATTATTATCTTTCTTCCTTATTTAAAACACTGATTGGCCAGCTTAAATTGTAACAGCTTAAAAGTAGAAATAAGTTTCAACTTAGGTATGAGCACAGTGATTCGGGACCAGTTTCTGCCTTACAGAGAGAATTCAGAGGTGGTGTTCCCTTTTAAACATATGCACCCAAATACCTTATATGCAGGTTCCATATAAGCATGTAAATAAAACAAGTTCTGTATTTTCTCAATTTTACAAGCTGATGGTAAACTAGATTTTAAAGATAAAACTATGCCTTTAAAAACATTAAGCCTCAAAATTTCATCCAGTGTTTTCTTTAAGAAATGGAATATTAAAATCATTTTTGAAATGAGATATTAAATGTATTTAAATCTTGGCTTTTCTGTACTTAATCATTTTTCCTAAAAAAAGAAAAAAAAAAGTTAAAAACATCAAGAGCCAGAACATGCTGCCAGGATGGAAAATAATCAGAAACGTCTTCAGTTGCAGATCCTGGACAACTCAGTCTTGTTTTGAATTTTTCAGAGCTTGAAGTCTCTCTAGTAGTGGAGGATGAGAATAATGCCACATGGAAAACAACCAGTCAGAAACAGGGAATCCCAAATTGTCTTTGTTTAGTTTGATTAAAGCAGAATATAAGTCTTTGGCCTTCCCAAGTTTCTTTGCAAATGCATCGGCTTGAAACTCAAATCTGCGGCTGAGGACTGTTAGGCAAAAAGAAAGAACCTGAAAAAGGAAAGAAAAGCATTTTAACCACTTCCCCTCTTTGTTGTCACTAAAGCTTTCATGAGCCAATACTGCAGAGGAAGTTCAGCTCAGGATAAGAGAAACAGCAAGCCAAAAGAAACATCACTTGTATTTTGGAGACCCTAGGGTGGGGGAATTATTAGAAATTGAGGCTTTCCCCCTTGAAGCAAATATATCAGAAACAGATATATTTCCAAAGACATGTCAATCTTAAAGAAGAGATACTGACTTCTGAGAACCTGTCATGGGCCAGGCACTGAGTTGGCATTTTACATTCTCCAGCAATCCTAACAAGGTGATTACTCTTACTCTTGTTTTACAGATGAAGAAGGCATATCTCAGGAGTGAGACAACTTGTTCGTGGTCACACAACTAGAAGGTGGTAGTGGTGACATTCTTGATGACTCCAAAGCCCATGACACCATCTTTCTCAGAGGTAAGATGTGGGGATTTATATTCAGACTCTTTTCTTCATTAAAAAAAAAATACTTGCTCACTTACCCACATTTAGATGTTAACAACAGTCTTCACTGAGAATATTCTAATATATATATATGTAAGTATACATGTATAGGTGTATATACATGTATACAAACACACTATAGCCTCTAATGATGGCCTCAAAATAGAATTTTCTAGAGTGTTCTGAGCTATGGTAGCTTCATTAGAATATTCAGTCTCCGAGGGTGACTACTATGGAGGGGACAAGTTTCATTTGAAAATAGAAATTTCTGAGGGAAAAATAATTTATTTGCATACTGACATATTAATATTACAGGTTGGATGACATGATGTCTATCTCTTACCTTAAAATACATCAAGCAATAAAGCAAAAAAAAAGTTTAAATCTCTCAACTGTACCTCATATTGCCATCAGCAGATCCAGAGCTTCAACATAAAGTCTGGGAGCTCCTGACATCTTCTTAGACATGTTCAAAGCTAGTATCTGGCTCCTACCTGAAATTTCTTTCCAAATCTTGAATGTACTTTTTCGGTTATAATCATTAACTAATCTGTCTGTCTATGTGCCTCCTGATTTCAAGTGTCCCAGGGCAGCTGTCCCTTGAACCTCACTGTGACACAAATAAACCCTGAGCAGACACTAGCCCGCATTCATCTGCTCCACTGTAGGTTTTCAAACCCTTCTCAATAAGGCATGTTTGCCATTTCCCAGGAAAATATCTCTTTCTTATTATGACCTCTTAAATGCAGACATTAAACATACAGTTCTCTGTTTAAATACTTCAGTTCAGTTCAGTCACTCAGTCGTGTCCGACTCTTTGCGACCCCATGAACTGCAGCACGCCAGGCCTCCCTGTCCATCACCAACTCCCGCAGTCCACCCAAACCCATGTCCATTGAGTCAGTGATGCCATCCAACCATCTCATCCTCTGTCGTCCCCTTCTCCTCCTGCCCTCAATCTTTCGTTTAAATACTTAGTCTTTTTGAAATGAGTACCCTGGGCTCATTGAGGTTTTTAAAATAGTTGCAAATATCTCTAAATTAATTATATTTCAAATCACTCTAATATCCCTAAGTAAATATCTAATTTACTTAGCTACTTTTTGAAGTGAACTCAACTACTCAAAATAGAAGGAGATAAAACCAAAAACTGAGAGGCCAAATCAGATGCCCAAAGCAGACTAACATTACTGGTGCCTTATTTATCAGAGGACACTTACACTCGGTCAGAATCCAGTAACCTTTACCTAATGAGTTTGATTTCCCAGTCTATAGTTGGTTGAAGAAGAAAATTATAAAAAATAATGACCATATCAGAAAGTTACACTGACATTAGCAAGGATTATCAGCCTGACAGTCAACGAAGAGATTATAAGAAAATTAGTTATATAAATAAATAGCACCACTGCATAAAGAGTAGAGGATTCTGGGGCATTTCATACACACAGCTCAGTGTCTTTAAGGCATTCCTGAATTGTGACTGAAGACAGAAATGACAATATCATTATGATGGCAGTTTAGCTGCTAAGTTACGTCCCATGGACTGTAACCTGCCAGGTTCCTCTGTCCATGGGATTCTCCAAGCAAGAATACTGGAGTGGGTTGCCATTTCCTTCTCCACAATACCATTACAAGCGGTTCTATAACCTCTTTAAGAAGTAACAATCAGCATACAGCACTTTATAAATATTCTCAACAAAAGTTAAAAAATTAAAACATTTAGAGTTTAATGATAATAAATATTATTTCTCTGGAAAATGAATGTAGATTCTGTGGACAATGCTATACAAACATGATTTCTTCCTCCCCGTTTTTCTTTCCTGTTGCCTTATACCTCACCCTTCCCCCACCTTTCAAGGAGAAAGTTAAAACCTAAACTCTACAACTTGTCCCAAAGAAAGAATTCTTCTGAATGGAGATATCTCAAGATCCCTGATCTCTTGACTTACTCTGGAAGCCTAATCAAGTAGTATGTTGCCATCACTGGATTTATTCATACACAGTCTCATTAATCCATGTCTTATCACATATATGGCATTCCACTACTGACCAGTCATGGAGCAGTGGTTCTCAAATTTTGCTTACCATAAAACATCCAACTTTGCTTCAGAGGGTCTGGAGTGGGATGCTAAGTCTGTTATGAAGTAGGTGGTCAGGAAATGCAACCAGAGGAACAGTCATACAATCTCTCTTATCCAGTCATACACACACTCAATTATCAGTTGTTTTGTCCCCTCACACACAGATTTTCACCAGTACTTGGAGAAATGTGGTCTAGGACATAGTGTTCCAATAGTTAATTTCCATCTACCAAGTCTCTGAGGTACATGCTACATCGAGGTTTTTCACCACTGAAGTCTAATTCTCCACTTTTTTCCCCCTAACAATATAGAAGCACTTATTATTTGGGACTGGGTTTTTCTGCTACATTCTTATACTGGCCAGTAAATAAAGGGACTAAAACTTTGTTTTATCTGCTTGTTAAAACTATAGTTTTCTTTTTTCACTACTCTCAAGGTACTAGATTTGAAATAGCCAAGAGCATAGGTGAGATAATTTTAAAGATTATACATTACCTCATTATAAGGTGAAAAAATAAACTGGAAGATGATCAACAGTCCAATTAGAGTGGGCTGGCTGTCATTAAAACCAAATGCAACAAAAAGTTCCTTTCGACCAATTAATACAGCAAACAAGAAAAAACACAGGAAAGAATTCATCTAGAAAGAAGGATACAAAATTTCTAAGTTATTACTAAGCTAATTTCATTGTGGGATCAGTAGAACAAGACATCATGATGTGATTTTAAGAATGCTGTTAGCGTGACCACAGAAAAAGTTACTTAGGTGGTTTTATGGTTTTGCTTTTATTCTAGAAGTAGAGAGGGCCTGAGTTGAGAATATATATATATACTAATTCATTATTAGTGAGCAAATAATGGTTTAGCTGGATGATTAGGGCCTTGGAACAAACTAGAGGATGGCTAACAAGGAGATTTGGAAAAGAGTTATGTGGGAAAACTTCCAAAACTAGCCCAGAGTATGATAATACTTAGGTCTAATGTGAACCTTCACCAAAACTATTCCACAGCAGAGGCGGCTCTCTCAATGCTCAGGTGGAGAAGATACCTGCTCTGTGGATGTAAGCCAGCTTCTTTGCCCAGCCACTCTAGGAGTTGGTCAATTGCTCATGAAAAGAGTGGCCATAGTGACAGGGATGAAGTCAATGCACTAATAACAACACAGACATTCCCCACTGGCTCTAGCTGAAGTGCCCAATCTATTAGAAGAGGCAATCAATTCCAGCCCTGATGAGGCACCTCAGGGATCAGCCACTACCCTCACAGTAGGCTACTGGACCCCTTCTTTCATGAATGGACCAGTGATTTTCCTTATTAAACTGAGTACTTAAATAAACTTGGATTTGGACTTATTTAATGTCTTACTCACTGCCATGTATCCATACAACATAGCTTCCAGCCAAGGCACTCATTTTTATACCTACAGATGTAAGGCAACAAAGAAGTGCCTATAGGAGCAGGTACATAAGTCTTCCCATGCAATCCATCACCCAGAACAAGCTGACCTTTAAGAAAGCTACAAAGACCATTAAAGATGCAACTGAGACCATACATGCTCAGAACCAGTCAAAAAAACAGAGTGCTATTTCACTCAGAGCCTGAAAACTATGGTCATTCTGTTGGTTTAGCAGTATTAATACCCAGAAGAGAAATGTTACAGAAAGTATTTTCTTTATATTTAGTACTTTTTGCAATTTCTTTTCAATGATTGTACAATGACTTTTTAAAAGAGAAAAAATGGTTTTTAAAAAGCATTTTAACGTCCAACTTATCTAGGCTCACTCCTTTTGATCTTCATAGCTCCTACAGCTGAGCAACTGATAACAATAATAAATATTTATGTAGTACACGTTTCAGGTACTACTCCAAACTCTTTACATGTATTAACTCATTTAATTCTTTCAGTCTTATGAGGTATCATCACTCAACAAGGGAATGGAGGCAGAGAGAGGCTCAGGACCATGTGTGAGGTCACAAAGGTAATAAGTCAGCAAGCTGTGATGTGAAGTCTGGCTACAGAGTTTGTCTTCGCTTCTCTACTATCTGAACTCTCATGCCTGCTATACTTATTATTTGACTCTCCTGCCATAAAAATAGAATTGTTGGGACTTCCCTAGTGGTCCAGTGGTCAAGACTCTGTGCTTCTACTGCAGGGGGCATGGATTCAATCCCTGGTTGGAGAAGCTGGCGGTGTGGCCAAGAAAAAAGGGGTAGAGAGAATTACTCCAGACTTACCTGGCTAATAATGATATTTTTGACTGTGTGTCCCAACTTCCAGTGCCCCAGTTCATGGCCTAGTACAGCAAGCACCTCCTCATTTTTACATCCTTGTTTCTTATTCTGAATCAAAAAACAAATTGAAAATAAACCATCAAGAAGCTTCAAAAAGTTTATAGCTTTTAACCAAGTAAGAGCCCTTCTTAGATTCTAGCTTAAGGAAACAATCAGACTTTTGTGCAAAACTGTTCATTCACTGAACAAAACATTATTCCCCCAGCCACTCCACATTAGATAATGGGTTAAGCTCAAACATAGAATCATGAAGAAGACACACATATTCTGATTACATGAGTCTAATTTAGGTTAGAAAACATATAAATCTTTATCAACAGGAAAAGAGTTAAATAAATCATGACAAAGTCATGTAACAGTCATATTATAAACCCACTAGAAATTTTGCTTTCAAAGATTATGTTATAACACGGGAAACTGCTAATGATAGTGTCAAACATTTATATTATACATCCATTAGAAATGTTTTGAAAGATTATGTTCTGACAAGGGGGAAATGGCTCATTAGGTGAAGAAAGCAGGAAACAAAACTAAAAATAAATAGTATGATTCCAATTATGAAAAGAGACAAATGTGTATGTAAGAATACACAAATAAAGAAAACAGACTGAAAGTATATCAAAATGTTAACAGTTTTTTCTGTATGGTAGAAATACAGTGATGTTTAACTATCTCAAATCATTCCTATTTTCCAAATGATCTACAAATAAGTACATGTCACTTGTGACCTCCAAAAACATCATGAATTGCCGTTTTAAAAACTGAGACCCTACAGAGTGAGGTAAGCCAGAAAGATAAAGAACATCACAGTATACTAACACATATATATGGAATTTAGAAAGATGGTAATGATAACCCTATATGCAAAACAGAAAAAGAGACACAGATGTACAGAACAGACTTTTGGACTCTGTGGGAGAAGGCGAGGGTGGGATGTTTCGAGAGAACAGCATGTATATTATCTATAGTGAAACAGATCACCAGCCCAGGTGGGATGCATGAGACAAGTGCTCGGGCCTGGTGCACTGGGAAGACCCAGAGGAATCGGGTGGAGAGGGAGGTGGGAGGGGGGATCGGGATGGGGAACACATGTAACTCCATGGCTGATTCATGTCAATGTATGACAAAACCCACTGCAATACTGTGAAGTAATTAGCCTCCAACTAATAAAAATAAATGAAAAAAAATTTTTTTAATAAATAAATAAAAAATAAAAAAAACCTGAGACCTCCAAGTTAAAATGGCAGAAGGAACATCACATCTAATTTTATTCCCTCCAAAAACCCCAGTAAAACTGTAATCAAGAGTTGTTTTTTTTTTTAAAGACATAAACAGGATAGAGAAAAGGATAGGGAAAACAGGAGAGCTGGCAATAGTAACAAGATTTTGGAAGCAGGAAAGCAGACAGACAAATAAAAATGGACTAGGCAGGTCAAGAAGAATCATAAGCCAGCAGTGAAGAAAATATATAGAACCAGTCTGATTTACACTACAGTGTCTTCAAAGGACTCGAATACTAACAGTAACCAGGTATTTCTGAAATGGGAGGAACAGGAAGGAGGTTGTGGCAAATAAAAGAATTGGGTGAGAGCTGTTTGAGAAATGGTACAAATTCCTCTCCAACTCCACACTCAAGCAAAAGGCAATTGCTTGTCCCTCATCCTGGCAGAAGCCTGAAAGCTCATTTTGGATAGGGCAAAGAAAAGGACACTTCACCTGGAAGTTCGACATAGTTGAAGGCCTCGGTACACCAGCAACAGACCATGGATTTGCTTACCTAATGGTATGGTACACTGACTACCGAGCACTCCCTCTCCCAAGCTAGTCCTCTCCCCGTAACTGGCTCCCAAAACACTCCCCTCCAGGCAAAAGACTGGAAGAGTACTCCCTGGGAACTCTGATCCCTCTTCCAGGAAAGACCAGGAGATACTAACGCAGGAATCCCCCAACTGCAAGCACCCCTAGGACACACCACAGTGAAGCTCAAAGTTGATAAGCCTTATCTACAGGCTCAGAGAATCAACCAGGTTTTTAGTCCCATTCTCTCACTAAAATGAAAGAAGTGAAAGTTGCACAGTTGTGTCTGACTCTGCTATCCATGGACTGTAGCCTGCCTGGCTCCTCTGTCCATGAAATTCTCCAGGCAAGAGTATTGGAGTGGGTTGCCATTTCCTTCTCCAGGGAATCTTCCCCACCCAGGGACTGAACCCAGGTCTCCCGCACTGCAGGCAGATTCCTTCCCAACTGAGCCACTTGGGAAGCCCATTCTCTCACTAAGGAGCAGATAAACAACTGTATATGTTATAAGATACACAAGGTAAGGGTCAAGGTGGAAGACCAGATACAGAAAAAATGCAGTATGGAAGAACAAATTACCTAAGGAGAAAATTGAGAGAGACACTGCTTTCATGGGAAAATTGAAGATACTACAAAGAATGGGAAATTCAGGACTTCCCTGGTGGTTCAGCGGTTAAGAATCCAACTGCCAATGCAGAGGACACAGGTTTGGTCCTGGGAAGACTCCACACATCTCAGGGCAACTAAGTCTGTACACCACAACTACTGAGCCTGCGCTTTAAAGCTCGCGCTCTGCCGTAAGGGAAGCCGCTGCGGTGAGAAGCCTGTGCGCCACAACCAGGAGGAGCCCTCGCTGGGCGCAACCAGAGAAAGCCTGTGTGCAGCAACAGGAGCAGCCAAAAAAAAAAAAAATCTAAAAATAAATTTAAAAAAAAGAGGACATTCAGAGAAAAATAATTCTTAGAAATTTAAGCTTAATAGAATGATTGGAAGATGATGGTATCACCCAGAAAATAGAAGAAAGAGATAAACAAATGGAAAAGCAGGGAAGAAAAGGTAAGAAAGTTCAGTATAAGGAAGCCAACATTCAAATAACAGGAACTCTGAAAAGAAAGAATAGAAAAAATAGAGAGGAGAAAATCATCAACAAAACAATTTCAATAAGTCTCCTAGAACCAATGAACTTCAATTTCCAAATTAAAAGGGCCAAATACATACCCAGCACAACGGGTAAAAACAGACTCACAAGGTTATACACTGGAAACTAGTATAATATTGTATATCAACTATACTTCAATTTTAAAAAAGAAAAGGCACACACCAAGGTATGTGAAATTTCAGAACACAGAGAAAGGATTCAACAATTTTCCAGAAGAATAAAATTAAGGTAACATATTAAGGATCAGGAATTTGAATGGTTTCAGACGCCTCACCAGCAATGTTGGAATCAAGATGGTGATGAAACAGTGCCTTCACAATCCTGAAAAAAAAGTATTTTCAATCTAGAAATCTAAACCCTAGTCTAAGTGACAGGAAAAACATGTGACAGAAAAATGAAGGCACTTTGATGCAAGAACTCAAAAACTTTACTATGCAACCTTTCTCAGGAAGGTGCTGGAGGATGTTCTTTACTAAAATGAAGGAGTAAATTAGAACAAAAAGTCATGGAACACAGAACACAGGAGACCCAGTGAAGGAGAGAAGTGAAAGGGATCTCTAATGGTAATGGACAACCACAGAACGACAACCGTACACCAGATAAAAGAGGAAAACCTATTCAGATTTGAACAATGTGACTCAAAAGACAAATCTGTTGAGGACTGCCATGATCGCATTCTTTCAGTCACCATAGCATCTTTTTAACCTGAAGAAATTTGTAGAAGATGTACACTACTGAGAGAACACAGTAGATCAACATGGATTTCAACCTAAAGAAAAGGAAAAGAAATATCAAGAATGACCTGGTGGTCCTGCAGCTGAGACTCCGTGCTCCCAAAGCAGGGGGCCTGGGTTTGACTCCTGGTAAGGGAACTAGACCCCACATGCCACCCCACATGCCGCAACTAAGACCTGGCTCAGCCAAATATAGAAGAATAACCACAGGGGAAGTCTACTGTGAGAGCTGGAGAGCAGGACTTCAGAGAAACACCCCAAAGAAAGAAAACAGAAATCTCTCCCAGGGTGTAGGAGGGATGAGGGAGACTAAAACTAATAAGGTTAATGATGCAATTAACCTTGTAGGAAATTATATTGAGAGATAGCAAAAGTTGTGAGAAGAATTAGCAAAAAGAAAAAGGAACACTAAGCACATTTTTTTTAAAAAAGCAATTATTAAGCAAGAGGGAAAAAAAGGTAACATATTCTCAGCAGTGAAAAGGTACAATATTGTTTAACAATAATGTTTTGATGCTGGTTGAGAGACAGACATAGAGAACAGACTTATGGACAGGGGTCGGGGGTGGAAGGAAAGAGTGGCATGAATGGAGAGAGTAGCAATGGAAACAGTACACTACCATATACAAAATAAGATAGCCAGTGGGAATGTGCTGTATGGCTCAGCGAACTCAAACTGGGGCTCTGTGACAACCTAGAGGGATAGGATGGGGTGGGAGGTGGGAGCGAGGTTCAAGAGAAAGGGGACATATGTATACCTACAGCTGATTTATGTTGATATAGGACAGAAACCAACACAATATTGTAAAGCAATTATCCCTCAATTAAAACTAAATAAATTTTAAAAAACCCACAAGAACTATAACTGGACTATACTGGAAGAATTGGGGGAAGGTAGGAGCAGAGCACATGTTAGCCCAAGAACTAAATCCTCATCTACCATAACTAAAAGTCAAGATACTGTCAGTAGATAATAGTATACATATATTGTATATATAAATGATATGCATAAATGTCAGAAGAAGCTAACAGAGCTGAAATCTGTAGGGAGAGGAGCCTGACGGGGTGAGAGGCATAGAGAAGGCAGGAACATGAAACTACTATATTTCATTATATGCTTTTTTGTACTCTTAACTTTTAAACAATATGTTTACATTACTTTAATAAAGTTAAATTTAATGTTAAAATTTATTGGCGTTCTACTTCCCTAATTTTATCATAGCTCCTCAAACAAACATTAAAAATACATATATGTAAATACATATATATGTATACACAAAAATATATATACACACATGCATAAATATATTTTTTTCCTTCAACACACATGAAGAATAGGCCAGGAAAGATTTAAAAAA